TTATATGTTGTATATAATCATATATTATAATTAACATTATATAATTATATAATACATAATATCATATTGTATAATTATATATTATACATTATTATATTAATCATTAAAATATATTAGGTATTATAATGTATTATAGAATAAAATTTTATGTTAATTTATATAATTAATTATTATTAATTATAATGTATTGTATTATTATTATTATAATGTATCGTGTTATTATTTTTAATTATTATATAATATAATGTTATAATATAATATGTTATATATTATTTTTTTAAAATATTAATTTTTTTAGGTGTAGATGGACACAACACAATGCCTTTATTTTTATGTGGTGCTGAGGATCGAACCCGGGTCCCGCCCATGTTAGGTGAGCGCTCTACTGCTGAGCCACAATCCCAGCCCATGTTATATATTATTTATAACATCTTATATATGTAATATATTATGTATAATATATGGCATTATACATATTATATGTCAATATAAACAATTATACATATTGTATCGTACAAAATTTTAATGGATATCATATATAATATATATAAATATAAACAATTATACATATATATTTATGTATAGTGCAAAACTTTAATATATAGTATAAAATTACCTTCAGACTATGTTTATAAGGTATATAAGACACATAATGAATTCTGTGTTTAGATGTGTGTTCTATCCCAAGTTTTCTCATTATGTATAAACAAATATTCCAAAATCTGAAATTCAAAACACGTCCAGTCTCAAGCATTCTAGATAAGGGATATTCAATCTGTTCTACCTTTACAATAAAGAATATGAACAAAAAGTAAAAAAGGCACAGCCACAGGTCACCTTGTCACAAACATCACTAGAGACAACCTCTTTGCTTTTATTCTGCAGAAGGAAATGGGCTGTGAATGGCTGAGACTTCTCCACTTGGTTCCAGACATAGTTCCGACCCACTCACTTCCTGCTACCCCTGGCCTTTGCCTGCTGGAGTCCTGGCACCCTGGTGACAGCTAGCTCCTTCGGAGTTGGACAGTTCACTGGGTCATCACCTCCAAGGATGTTACGAATAGACAGGTTCTGATTGGTGGGGACAAAGGCAGCCCAGAGCCTGCACAAGGCCAGAGTCTCTAATATCTGCCCATCTCAGTGGGAGCTGAGAGCCTGGGCTCTAGTCCCGGGCTTACCCATGCCTTGCTCTGCACCTCTATCCTTGCTGCTGACTTTTTGGGTGTTATCCTATTCTCTTTTCCCCTCTTCCATCTTTAGCTTGGTCTAACAGGTCCTTCCCCTTGGCATGGCCTCTCTGGGAGTATGCCTGCTGCCATGTCCTGGCCCTCTTCAGTTCTGACTGTCAACATCCAGAGGACAATACAGAACAAGTGGCCAGGATTGAGGCTTGGATTCTCGGCTTGGGCATTGGCTCTCCCAGGGCAGAGCAAGACTCCTGTTTATCCATAGGTAAGTGAATATTTCTCTGAGGCTGTTTTCTCTTGTGGAAAATGGGGTGAACAGTCATGGCCTGAGGGGGGAGGGTTGTGGCTCAGAGGTAGAGTGCTTGCCTCGCACCTACCAGGCACTGAATTCGATCCTCAGCATCACATAAATAAACAAATAAATAAACAAAATAAAGTTATTGTGTCCACCTACAACTAAAAAAAAGAAAAATAGTCATGGCCTGAATGCCCTTAAAGAACTACTAGAGGATCAAATTTTTGAACATACTGGAAAGCAGGAATAAATGGCACTGGGCACACTTAAGGATTCTCATTCATCAGAACATGCTAAATATAGAGAATGCAAGGATTTAAGATATGCCAATAGAACGATAATAGCTTACAAATGAAAGAACCTAGAAGGACCCAGAGATTCAGGGAATGTAATTCTAATCTCTGTTCTTTAGAGAATAGGAGTTTAAAGGACCACCCCATAGTCCCACAGCAGGTCCACAGTCATGCTGAAAGGACTAGAGGCTGAGGCCATTGTTTGCACAGATTGCAACATCTTCATCATTTTTGGTTTACATCCCCAGTTTGCTTTAACCTAAGAGGGCCTGGAACAAACAAACTGTTGGAAATGGACAGACTTTGAACTTATCCAAGCATCTGGTCCAGGACATACCAATTGGGCATCAGTGCATTCTCCTTGCCCCTGAACATGATTCCAATGTTGGTGGCGTGCTGCCGAGAGGAATAGAAGTCTGTGTAGTCTCCTGCAGAAGAAAGACCCAAGGCAGGCCATCAGTGACCCTGATGATGGAGGGCATTCAGTTCCCAGGATGGGGCCTGTAAGCATGCCCACACAAATATTGCACATCCCAAAGCTCAAACTCTTCTGGCTGCAATAGCACCAAATGCAGCACAAAGTAGCCTCACTAAGATTCAGTTTTAGACCCCACTCCCCTGCCCCACAACTAGGAAGAAAATAAGAAATAAGGAGCCAAATCATTCTGAAACACAGTGGAATTTGAATACAAAGTGGCTGACGCCAAATCTCCTTCTCAGAGTTCTGAGAAGGAGTTCAAATCTCCTTCTCAGCTACACACACAAAACTGCTTGTGATTCCATACAGGGAACAGCCCTGGTTGCCCTATGCCTAAGCTGAACCTACCCTCTGGAGCCACCTCTCTTGTCTCTGTGTGGTCAAATCCTAGCAACTAATTGAGGCCACCCTTGTGTGAAGTCCCCCACTCTCTCTAGCAGGATCCTTACCTCTTCTAAATCCTGTCACCCGAGCCATCTTGGGGCAGGCTTCCTTTCCATTTGATGCACCAGTTACATATGTGCATATCTTTGCTATGCTGTGGCCATTTCAGGGAGCCCCAGCTCAGATTTTATTTTGTTTGACTCTCCCTCAGTCTTTTTTTTTTTTTTAATTTTAATATTTATTTATTTTTTAGTTTTTGGCGGACACAACATCTTTGTTTGTATGTGGTGCTGAGGATCGAACCCGGGCCGCACGCACGCCAGGCGAACGTGCTACTGCTTGAGCCACATCCCCAGCCCCTCCCTCAGTCTTAAGAATAAGATTTTGTTCACTGAAGGTGTTCAGTCAGTGTCTGCTGATTCCGATGAACTCAACAGGGTGGTTTGTGCTAAATGTAGGAGCACACACCTATAATCCCAGCGACTCAGGAGGTTGAGACAGGAGGCTTGAAAATCTGAGACCAGTCTCAGCAACTTAGTGAGGCCCTTAGCAACTTAGCAAGATCCTGTCTCAAAATAAAAAATAAAAAGTGCTGGGAATGTGGCTCAGTGCTTAAGCACCTCTGGGTTCAACCCATGGTACCAAAAAACCAAAAACCAAACCAAACAAAGTAGCTTGTAAGCATCCTCTCTCATTCGGCGAATGAATTACTGAAATCTTCAGGAAAATCTAGATGGGAAGGTTTGCTTGTTTATCTTCCTAAATCTCCTATTAAAAAAAAAACAAAAAAAAAAACAAGCAAACAAAAACCCACAATGAGAACCCCAATCCATCAGTCCAGACTACACATGGAAATAAATGGGGAACGATGAGGGAAGAAAGCAAAACCTAAAGGTAGATTGAGCAAGGGGTGAACAGACTGAGTCTTGGCTGCTGTTTCCTACCTTCAGTACCAAAGCACAGAAACTGGAGCTGGGATGTTTATCAAAAGAATAAATCCGTGACAAAATAAACAAGGAATGGGACCATCAGTCAACCAGAAATGATAAGGAATCCCTGAAAGACAACTAGTTTGTCAAAAAGAACGCTGCCCTGAGTGCATGAGGGGAAGCAAGTGACATGCCAGGCCCACCCCACCCTCTACCCACCATTTGCCAAGCCTCCAGCACAAAGGACTTTAGTCAACTGAAGAGCTAGCCTAGAGAGTCCTGTCCTCTGGAGGGCAGGGCCAGCCAGCCTCTTAGCACACTGGTGCCCAGGCAAACCCAATAGCTGTGGCCTCCCCCAGGGCTGATAGACAAGAATGAAGCCCCTGTGCCGCTGGCCACAGGCTGATCTGCTTCTCCTTGCTTCAGGCTAAGTCACTTCAACTTTTGGATTCAAAGTCCAACCAGACAGCCTACCAAGTACACAAATGGGTCCTGCACAGCCCTCTGGCCGCCTTCCTCAAAACTACTCACCCTTAACAGCTCAGAGCAGAGTCCCCACAGCTCTCTGGGAAGAAAGAACAATCTGCTGCACAGGGAGCCATGTGGTTAGTCATGAACTTGAGCAGCCTGCAACTAGTCTAGGAGAGTGCAAGCTTTGAGCCAATGCTGGCTTGAGTTGTGAGACTGGTCAGTGTTGGAGTGGGTAACCACCTGGAGATCTTATTCCAGATCCTCCCCAACCCAGACAGGGGACAAAGGCACCTGGCAAGCCCTCTCAGTTCATTAAACTACTCACATTGCCTGAGTGGAGACAGTACTCACCTATGATGGCTGGAAGGTACATCGTGGCAGAAGCCTGGGAGGTGAACGCACTGAAACACAGAACCAGGGCTTCAAGGTCAAGCAAACAGTAAAGTGGGGCCCTGCTTTGGTTGCCTGCTTGCAGGCTTAGCCCATCCCCAAAATCTTGATCACCATCTCCAGTGGGTGCCTCTAGGCTGGACTAGGCCCCACCATGAAGGAGGCACTGGAGTCAAAATGTCTTATCTCTATATTGCACTCTAGAAAATAGGAATGGGGGGTAGGAACTTCTGTTCTAGAAACCAGACAGGGGCATAGCTGATGCCAAAGAGGAGGGAGAGGGCCTCTGGGCCTGACCTGGCAGCTCCCATCCAGACATTAGAACCCTCCCACAAATATGCAGCCCACCAGGGGCTGCACGGAAACCAGCTTGACTCAAAAGGGCGAAGGCAGCCGTGTCATGACTCGGTGGCGCTGCTTATCCCCCAGTCCTTGTCTCCCCTGCAGTGTCCCACCTTCCCACCAAGGTCCATATGTTCCTCACCGCTTCCGAAGCTCCATGTCATCTCTGAGCCTAGCTTGGCTGGCGGACAGCAAGTTCTGCAAGAATGCTCTTGCCTCCTTCCAGGCAGCCTGGCCCAAACCCATGAAGCCGTTGAGAGTTGGCTAGGGCCAAAAGAGGGAGAAAGGAGTTCATGCATGGGAAAGCATTCTTGCCCAGGAGAGTCTAGCCACCTTGCCAGGGCCCTGACTCCTCTCTGTTCACTCAAATGCTCAGGATCTTTGCTTTTGATTTTGTCACTTATGTATCAAGCTGGAGAAAGCCATCACCTTTCTTGATACTGCTTCATCCCCTCATGGATGTGTACACAACTGTCAAAGCCCATGAGCTGCTCTCCGGAAAATAGCCTGTTAAGCCCAGTCTGGTCTATAGCTACAGGGGACTCCATTCCTCCAGTGTACAGATGCATGGAACAACCTAAATCCTCTCCCTGGGGCTCCTGAAAAGCCAAGAAGGGATTTCTTAGCCAATGAGGCATGGTAGAGACAGCACCTGTGGATGTTAAGGGTCAGAAGGCAGTCCCAGTTCTAATACTACCAGCCGAAGAACCTGGGAGAATTATGCCTCATTCCAGGTGTTTCCATCCATCTAGTGATGATTCTGGTTCCTGTGCCAGTAGGTGGTTGGGAGGACTGAAGGATAGGATGTGTGTAAAGCTCCCGGCAAGAAAAAGGAGCTCAACAGATAGATCCCACTCCCCTTCCTACTCATGTGATGTCACAGAGATGGATATCAAAGGACTTGACCTCTGACAAGGAAATTCATATTCATCCCACAAGGACATCAGATTGACTCCTGCCAGGCTGTGTTGTAGACCTGGAGGCCAGGGCTCGTGGCTCCTTCCCTCAGTGGTCTGACTGTCCCGACAGGACAGCTTGATGAGGAAAGGAGCCAGAGTTACAGAAGAGCCTCATCTCAAAGGCCACTGGGAAAGACCCAGGCTGCAGAGACACCAACAGTCTTTTCACTTAGGAACCCTCCTTGAGGTGAAAAGCCATCCTGGGGTATCCCAAGGCTACTACCTGCCAGGTGCTGTGTCTCAGAATAGCCCTGGCCTTATCCAAAAACCTGAGGCCTATGAAGGCATCACCTCTGTCAAAAGTGGAGGCAAAGTATTTAGTTTATTTGCAGTACTTCTGAGATCAGGGACAAGCTGTCACAGTGTCCTACCTCATCGAAGACATCCTGGTGTTTGGAGAGGACAGGCCCAGTGAAGAGATGCTTAATGACACTGAGGTCCAGGATCTGGTTGCCAATGGCCACACCGATCCGTTGCCTTGGCTGGGAGGAAGATGGCATAGTCAGTACTAGCAAAAGCTTCTGGTAGGCTGAGCTCATTTAGTCAAAAGCCTGTGGGTCCCCCTTTTAGATTGCCCTTATGGTGAGGAAACTGAGGGACTGGATCCTCAGCATCCTATCCCAGCTTCCTTCTCTGTTTCCAGGACAAGAAAGAAAAAGAATCTGTGTTCCCTTGCCAGGCATGGTAGTGCATGCCTGTAATCCCAGTGTCTCAGGAGGCTGAGGCAGGAGGATCACAAGTTCAAAGCCAGACTCAGCAACTTAGCAAGACCCTGTCTCAAAATAAAAAATAAAAATGACTGGGGATGTGGCTCAGTGCTTAGGCATTCCTGGTTCAATTCCTGGTACCAAAAACAAAACAAACCAAAATGTATGTTCCCTCAATGGGGAATCAAATCAAGAAAATCTTACCCCTTGTATGAGTATAGTGAGAACAGGCAGCCTGGTCCAAGCCCCTTTTCCAGTCTCAGGAACTTCCCCTGCAAAGTTCCTCAGACTTTGCTTAAATGCCTCCAGTGGTGAGGAGCGCACTACCTTACCAGGCAGCTGGATTCTTTTTTGCTTTGACCAGGCCTTTATTCAGGGCAATTCATTTGTGCAGCAGAGCAGTGAGTGTTCCACGAACAGTGCTGAAAGCCAGATGGCACAGAATAACAAGCTCTGCTGGGGCTCAAATAGAGGAGAGCTCAGGTCGTGGGGAGCTGCACAAAGCCACACTGTGCAGACCACGTCAGGGGCATTCTTTTCTGCACCATAAAATCCCAGCATCAGCTCTGACCAATGAGATGCTTCAAATATTTGGCAAAACCTGGTTTTTGACCCCACAATCCTGAACTTTGCTAGTCAACTAGGAATGGAGAGCCTGCTTACAGACTCTACCCGATAGGGCTCTATCTATCCTCAGCCAGCTTCTAGATCTCCTAAACCATCCCCTTTGCCTTTTTAGTTCTAGAGAGCTGAGAAGTGGGATTCCTGGCTGGCCTCATCTCCATCGGCTGCTCATTTTGGTTGACTGAGAGAATAGTCATCTCTTCATGCTCGTTAGCCCCTGGGATCAAGGTACACCAGAGCCATGCCCTCCCCTGGCCCGGAGTTCACAAGCACATCTGCCCTGGAGGAGGCTGCCCGAAGAGCCTGGTTACTCATTCTCAGCTCTGCTAACTCTCTGGGCCTTAGTCTCACCCTCTGGAATATGGCAACTGCTGTGAAGGACACAGAGCTGAGCTACCTAGATCCAAGTGGCCATACACTCAGGCAATGTGCAGGGCAGATCCTAGAGCCACTTCTGATCTTTACCCTCACATCTAGCTTAAGGTAAGAAGCTATTAAGCAACCTCTAAGATCTAATAGAAAATTCCGCTGCTAGTTTTGGCAACTGTAAAGAAAGCCTAGAAGCTTCAGATGGCAAGTTATTGCCCTTGTGTTCCAAAGTGTGACCTGAGGACCCAGAAAACCAGTTTGATAGAGTAGATCCATATACTTTTAACCTTTAGAATTATTTTCTTCAGTGTCAAACTAGAAGGGCTCCTGGCCTGTTCTATCACTTACTATCCCATTCACCCTGGAAAAGTCAGTCCCTGGTGCTCTGAGCCTCAGTTTCCCCTTCGACTTGAGGCAAATAAACTAGGAAAAGACATCTCCCTGACTTGCATCATTGGAAGAGAAACTATGAAATTGGGAGGTTGACAGATGTGAAGGCCAATCCCAAATCTGCCTCTACTGACTATGAGATCCAAAGCATGATTCTTAGCCTCTCCGAGCCTTAGTTTCTTCATCTGTAAAATGGGGGGAAATAATGGGGGTTTGTTGTGAGAATTCAATTAGTATCTGTCAATCTCTTAACATAAGAATAGACATGAGTAGATACTATTCATAGCACAAACATTTATGAAGCATTTCTTTGGCACTAGTACTACATGAATGCTGCAAAATCACCAGAGAGACAGAGAAAGACAGAGGAGCAACTTGGTTCCTGCCCTCCAGAAGTAAAAGGCAACACAGGGTGTGGTAGGAGATACCAACTATGGAAGGGCTCATTCACAGGATACTTAGGGACAATTTTCTGAGGGGCTGACATTTAAGCTGACTCCTGAAGAATGAGAAGAAATAAGGATATACAGACTAGAAGGAAGGGTAGTCTAGGTAGGAGAAATAACAAGTGCTAAGGCCCTGAGGCAGGAAACTCTCAGTGTGTCTCAAAGACTGAAAGGTAGCCATTAAGGCTGAAAAGAACAGAATCCAGGAAGTAGAGGCAGGGCCAGATCAGGGACTTTACCAAGGCACTAGGCAAATCAACCTCCAGACTCTTGCTGGCCCATTTCTCAGAGGCCCCTGTCCCTGCTTTCACACAGAACATCATTATGTGTTCACTAGTATTCCATGAGCAATCAGACATTGGAGGGAAGGTGTCTCCTATATCTTTGTTTTTTTTTTCTGTTTTTTTTTTATTGGTTGTTCAAAACATTACAAAGCTCTTGACATATCATATTTCATACTTTAGATTCAAGTGGGTTATCTCCTATATCTTTGATCCCTAACTCCCAGCATAGCATCTGGACCAAAATTAGGGGTTCCTAAGCAATGGTTGAATAAAATAAAATGATAACTAGATTAATTCATTGTTGTTCCATTCACATTAAGGACTAGCTATGGGCCTAGGGGAAAGGAGATTATTGCCTTGACCACCAGGGCACCCTAGAGAGGCAGCCACCACAAATGGGGTTTCCAATCACTTAAGTGACACAGTTAGATAAGGTCTATATAAGCTTGGAGGCCTTGAGCTTCTGGAAGGTCAAATGGGCCAATTCTCTGTCATAGCACTCTTTATCAGAGGTCAGTGGGAAGGGGTGCTCTCTCCCAGAAATCCTTAGAGGCTGCCTTGAACATTCTAGCAATTGCAGGGCATGAGGTCTGCAATTAATACCAAAAGGCATTAATTCCAGATAGCTCCTAGGAAAGCAAATCAGAACTCCCTACTAGTGCGTGCTAGCATCTCAGAAATGTTCTGGTTTAAGGGATTTGTGCCCTCAGGAAAGGTGAGGACTTATTTGCTAAGGGCAAATGTTAGAGGAGGGCAGAGGGAGGATACTGCCATCAGAGACACTGGTTGGCTAACACAGGTTAAGCTTTAACATGTCTCATCTGTGTGTCTCTCCAGGGCACTTTTTGTGTCTATGCAACATCCAATGAGATCTGTCAGTTTTAAAACCACAAGTCACCTCCTCTAGATTAAGTCATTCACTGCAGGCAGGACCCCAAAAGGATAGGTACTTGGAGTCAATGAGAAGCCATGGAGGAAGGGAACCCAGTTTCCAGGAAGAGGCCAACAGCCAGGGCTCCATTTAGCAAACATTTCCTAAATACTGTTAGGTGCAAGCAGATTTGGGGGTTCTATGGCTCCCAGAACCGAATGAGGAGTAGGATCAGGGACCTAAGAACAAAATACTACTCACAAATCCAAGCAAGGAATCTACTTTTTGCACCAGGAGACCCTCTTGTATATTTGCTGATAAACGTCCAGTTTTCAAAGATTTCTTTCTAACCACACTACATTTACAAGTCAAGGTTCGTTTCCCCCACCCACTCAAAGGGCTTCTAATTAGCAAGGGAAGCCAGGGAGCCCATATTAGCTGAGAGAATTCCAAATGGAGGCAAGACTTGACCTCTTAGATTACACAGCTCTAGGCCAGGAAATACATGCATCTCTTTCAACTGCTAAAAATGCTGGGGTTAGCCAAGCACAGGTGGTGGGGTGCAGCAACTACCTGAGACAGAGGCATGAGGATCACGAGTTTGAGGCCAGTCTCAGCAACTTGGCAAGACCCTGTCTCAAAATTAAAAAGGGCTGGCGATGTAGTTCAGTGGTAAAGCACCCTTGGGTTCAATCCCCAGCACACACACACACACACAAAGGTGGGGGTTAACTGATACTTTCCGGGTTCTGGGGTTAGAAGTTAACTAGAGACATGAATGATCAGCTGTAAGCTGGCTTCTTTGGGGTAAGAAAACACCCCAGCAATTCGGTATTGGGCAACAGGATTGTGTGCTTCCTCTTCTCGCAACAATAATGGTACTTGCTGACTTGTCTGGGAGGGAGAGTTGCAAATTCTATTTCATTTTGCATTTAATGCCACACAACCCTGCAGAAACAGGCTGAGAGGTTAAACAATGTGCAGAGCCAGGCGGGATTTGATCCCACAGCACTCTCCATGGACCGCTTTTCAAGAAAAAATGACCCATGCCTTCAAGTCGCCCCCGCTCCCCTCCACTCCACGCCCTCCCCGCGCCCGGAGTCGAAGAGCAACAGCTCACGTTGTCTTGGGTGGAGAAGACGCCATAGGGCAGGTTGTGGATGGGGAAGTCACAATCCTCCGCCACTGGGATGAAAGACATGCTGATGAGCACCAGGTAGGGGAGCAAGCAGTGGGCTGAGTAAGAGGAGAGTGACTGGACTGAGCTGCAGGGGTTAGGCCAGGCCACGCCCCGGGTCCCGGACCTCCCTACATCCACACGGTGACCCGGCCCCAACCCCGGCCACGCCCCCTGGAGTGTCCTGCCCTCCTATTGGTCCTCCCCTCCTAGGGCCCTTCCCCCTCCGCAAGCCCCATCTCCGCCCCGGTCCCGCCCCTTCGCAAGCAGCCCTGCCCCCCAGGAGTCTCGCCCCTTCGCATGCCCCACCTCCAAGCTTTCTCACAGGCCCCGCCCCTTCCGCAAAGTAGCCCCGCCGTCCAGAAGCCCCGCCCCACTCCGCGCAACGTCACAATCGCTCCCTGGTCCCCACTCCTTCCGCTGTCAGCAGCGCGCCCTTGATGACTACCACCTTCGGTAGACCTTGTTCGAATTGGCCACTCGAGCCCTCGGTTCTACTAAGAACAAACCCAGCTTGGCATTAAGGCCTCTGCCCTGGGTGACTCCTGCCTCCTCCCTTTCTCCCGTTGCCGCCTGCTCTTCAGCTCAACAGAGCTCTTGTCCTCTCCCTGGAAACAAGACCCTTTCTCCCCAGAGACTGCCTCCGGCTTTGGAAGAAGCTCCCAGTTGCGTGCTTTCCGCCTGCATAAACCATGCTAATCCCTCTGCTGTGACATTTCCAGTGGTGTATTGGTGAAGGGGCAATCGCGCCTGTTTAGACGCTGATGAGAGTTAACAGTCTAGAAAATATAACTCACCTATGTATTTCACATTCTAGTGTTAATATGAACTTACCTTGTCTCTGTCTCAGCTTCTTCTGTATGTTGATGATAATACTTACTACTTCACACAGTTGATATAAGAATTAGGTGACAATGTTAGAATAGTGCCTGGCAAACAAAGACTGTATCGTGTGTTTGAAGAGAGAAAAAGGGAAAAAAAAAAAAAAAAGAAAGAGGAGGAAAGAAATTAGGGAAGAAAAGCTTAGACCTTATTCTTCTTTTCAATGCAGATATTTTAGATAAACGGACTCAGATTAACCGGTTGGAGATCCACTTTGACTAGAGTTAATTAGGCATTGACATTAGGTCAAGTTCTCTAATCATCTCTCAAATAGGGGTAAAGTAATATCTACTCCACTATTACTGTAATGGTTAAATAACGCCTGGCACAGTTAGTGATCAATGTTTTTTGTTTGTTTTACCAGGAATATCCAGCCAGAAAGTCAGCTATTCCTTTATTTCTGGGTTTTGCTTTTCTTCACGAAGAAGGCAATCAAAAAGAAAACTATAAAGGTAAAGGGGTCATCACTATGGAAAACAAGTTTAAAATATAAATGTCAATTTCTTAGAAATTTAACAAAATCATTCTTTAAAAACAAGTTTAAAATTACAAGTGGTATAAGGTGCACAATAGTTTATCAAGACATAAGCCTATATTTAAAACACTTTCAATTAATTTATTTTGGATGTTCCCATAACATTACAGTCAAAAGTTAATGAATTACTGGACATAATAAGCAGAATGACTAAAAATAAAAATAAAATAAAAAATTTGGCATTTTAAACCCAAATCCTAGAAGGTAGTTTTTTTAAATATATTTTTTTCGTTGTTGATGGATCTTTATTTTGTTCATTTATTTATATGCAATGCTGAGAATTGAACCCAGTGCCTCACACATGCTAGGCAAGTGCTCTTACCACTGAGCCACAACCCCAGCCCTGGAAGGTAGTTTTTAAAAGTATTTTTAAAAGTTGCAGTATCATCCCAGGACTTGTAAAAGTAACCTTTCCCCTTCCTAAACATTTAAAAATGAATAATAGTGATAGACAACCTTGAAATAAAGAATATATTGCTACTCCTTTGCCTGCAGTATCTTGCCCCATTTCTCTTCTCACCCACTGACCTCCTCTCTAAATCACTTTAAGTTATTCTTTTTCAAAGCACACATTTGTCAATAGCAGATCCCAAGTCCCCAGGCTTTTCCTTCCTCTGTCATCACTTGCAGATCACAAGTGAAATATAAACCAAATAACATATAATTTGAGTAATGTATTAGGATTGTAAATGATTCGTGTAAATGAGGACATAGAGGAAGAGAAAGAGAAATAGAAGGAAAAGATTGAAGGGGAAAAAAGAAGGGGGAAGAGAGAAGGGAAAGGCAGGCTCTTAGTGTGGGTTCAAGGTGTTGCCTAATCACTCATGTACTAGAACATTTTGTGACAATGTTCAAGTGAGGACACTGGGGACATGCCTGAAAATGTGGTATTTATGTGAATGTTTCAGGCACACTTCTAAAAGACCTGGATGCTGGCAGATTCTAGCAAAATTAAAAGTGGAAGGCAGCCTGGGCAAGGCTTCTGTGAAGTTCTCTTGAGAAGTGACACAAAGACTGCTAGGTTAGAGAGGCTGCTCTGCAGTTTGGCTTTAAAGGAGGAGAGTCTGGAAGGAGTAGCAATATATTCTTTAAGGTTGTCACAGGATAATGTGGGCTAAGAGGGCTTGAGCTAAGGGAATATTGCCCATAGGGATAGCTGTGAGACCCCTTCCTAGGCTTTGAGATGATTCCCATGCCCCTCCACTGAAGCCTTAACCAGTGATCACCCAGGGATGAGCTCAATATGGGTACAGCACTTTGGTTCTAACCTCCAGCCCTAAATGGCTCTGCCACGAGTGAACTTCAGTGTTTTTAAGACTGCCCTTGGGAGAAGGAATGAAGGGCAGTCTCTGGCAGTGGTAGGTGGTCTGGCTTGCTCTGGTAGGTTCCCTATGTTTTCTGGTAGAAAAAAAGGAATAGAGGAATGTCCCAACTCTTCACCTTATTAAAAGGAATTCCATTCTGTACCATTGTTCTACATGTCTATTTTGGTGCCAATACCATGCCATTTTTGTTACCATAGCTTTGTAGTATAGTTTAATGTCTGGTATTGTGATGCCTCCTGTTTCATTCTTCTTGCTAAGGATTGCTTTGGCTATTCTGGGTCTCTTATTTTTCCAGATGAATTTCATGATTGCTTTTTCTATATCTATAAGGAATGACATTGGGATTTTAATTGGAATTGCAGTGAATCTGTATAGTGCTTTGGGTAGTATGGCCATTTTGACAATATTAATTCTGCCTATCCAGGAGCATGGGAGATCTTTCCATCTTCTGATGTTTTCTTTCTTTAGTGTTCTGTAGTTTTCATTGTAGAGGTCTTTCACCTCTTGTTAAATTGATTCCCAAGTTTTTTTCTTTGTTGTTATTGTTGTTGTTTGTTTTTGTTTTTTGAGGCTATTGTGAATGGGACAATTTTCCTAATCTCTCTTTCAGAGATTCATCACTAATGTATAGAAATGCATTTGATTTATGGGTATTGATTTTACATCCTGCTACTTTGCTGAATTCATTTATTAATTCTAGAAATCTTCTGATGGAATTTTTCAGATCCTCTAAGTATAGAATCATGTTGTCAGCAAGTAATGATAGTTTGAGTTCTTCTTTTCCTATTCATATCACTTTAATTTCTTTTGTCTGTCTAATGCTCTGGCTAGAGTTTCAAGAACTATTGTTAAGGTCTGTAAACAAGTCAAGATGGTGCCTGGCATTTTGCCAGAGGGAGTGGTTTGTGAAGTAACGCCAGCGAGCCATTAAGTGTGGAGATTCCTTATTGGTTGACTGCTGTATCTAGTTTATGTTAATTAAGATAAGCTGTGTGTAAGGTATATATAACCCTCCTGTCCTACAATAAACAGCTCCCACTCCTGCTGTATCAATGTACACAAGTTGCTCGTCACCCTCCGGTTACTTTGCTGCAGCCGGACTGCGGCAAACTATGTTATATAGAAGTGGTGAAAGAGGGCATCCCTGCATTGTTCTAGTTTTTAGAGGGAATGCTTCCAGTTTTTCTCCATTTAGAATGATTTTAGCCTTGAGGTTTAGCATAGATTACTTTTACTTATTTTACTTATTTTTTACAATGTTGAGGTATGTTCCTATGATCCCTAGTTTTTCTAGTGTTGTGAACATGAAAGGGTGCTGTATTTTGTCAAATGCTTTCTATGCATCAGTTGATGTAATCATATGATTCATATATATATATATATATATATACTTTTAATTTTTTTTAGTTGTAGATGGACACAATACCTTTATTTATTTTTATGTGGTGCTGAGGATCAAAAGTGCAAGGCTCATGCTCTACCACTTAGCCACAATCCCCGCCCCTGATTCTTATCTTTAAGTCTGTTGATGATATGAATTATATTTATTGATATCTGTACATTAACCAAATTTGTATCCCTGGTCTGAACCCCACTTGATCATGGTGCACTATTTTTTTAATGTTTTTGTATGTGATTTGCCAGAATTTTATTGAGAATTTTTGCATCTACGTTCATCAGGGATATTGGTCTGAAATTTTCTTTCCTTGATGTGTGTCTGCCTGGTTTTGGTATCAGGATGAGACTAGTTTCATAGAATGAGTTTGGAACACAGAGATAAACCCACATAAATACAGCTATCTCATACTAGACAAAGGTCCCAAAAACATACATTGGAGAAAAGATAGCCTTTTCAACAAATGGTGCTGGGAAAACTGGAAATTCATATGCAGCAAAATGAAATTAAACCCCTATCTCGCACCATGCAAAAAACTCAACTCAAAGTGAATCAAAGACCTAAGAATTAGATAAGAGACCCTGCGCATAATAGAGGTAAAAGTAGGTCCAAATCTTCATCACATTGGATCAGGCCCTGACTTCCTTAACAAGACTCCTAAAGCACAAGAAATAAAATTAAGAATCAATAAATGGGATGGATTCAAACTAAAAAGCTTCTTCTCAGCAAAAGAAATAATCAATGAGGTGAAGACAGAGCCTACATTTTGGGAACAAATTTTTGCTACACTCACATCAGATAGATACTAATCTCCAAGATATATAAAGAACTCAAAAACTTAACACACACACACACACACAAAAAAAAAAAACAAAAAAAAAACAACACAACAACCCACAAACAACCCAATCAATAAATGGATTAAGGAGCTGAACAGACACTTCTCTGAAGAGGATATATATTTGCTCAACAAA